ACCACCTGGGTTAAGATGCTCAAGTTTCTTCTCCAGAACTAACCTATAGGTCCTTTGAAGGCAAAAAGTCTGGCCTTTTTGCTGTCCATCCCCTGACTATTCCCCCCCCCGCCACGTTATTGATTGCTGCAACAGGGCACATGGTTGCAGGCTGGAGAGGGAGCGATGGCAAATTGAGGTTAGAAACAGGGGAATCGGGTCCTGGGACTGGGGCTGAGATGGCTGCAAAGGGCTCTGCAGCAATCCCAGCTCTACTGCCAGCGCCTCTCACCGTGCTGCCTGGCAAGCAGATGGAAAGCAAGGGTAAAAATCCCGCCTTCCTCGGCCCTTCGTCAGCCTGTTAATAAATGTATTAAATAGCCCTGGGGTGTCAGAGCTCACAGCAGCCCTCAGACAGGCTTTCCCCAGTCTGAGCAGTGGCCACTTAACCTTGTTCTTGGGATCCACATCAGCTTTTGCCTCTCCCCATGGGGCTGCTGGGTTTCCTATAGCAGTCTCCCACGCCAAGGATAAACCTTGTTTGGACACCGTTTCTGTTTCTGAGGGAGGTAAGAGAACATTTCATTCAGCGCAGGGACGAGGCCAGGTTCCCTCCTGCTCATGTAACCTTCAGGCGGCTCAAGTGCTCAGCAAATATTGATGGCTGGACTGAGACTACACAGAGATGCTGCATCTGCTGAGCCCCGCTGGTGGGGTCCCTGCCCCACGTCCCCGGGGACATCTTGGGAGAAACCACGTCTGGGAGACACTACCCCCCGGTCCTGGAGCCGGGGGCTCTGCTTCCATCAGGACCTGTCCGTGGACCCTGTGTCAGGCCGGGCTTGCGATGGTGATGCCTCACCTGCTCGGGCAGCGTGGCCATCTCCTGAGCTGTCTGTCCGTCCTGAGCTGTCTGTCCATCCTGGGATGCCTCCACGGGCTCACTGCTTACTCCTGTTCTTCTCTCAGTTGGCTCCTCCGGTATAACTCCACTTGACCCATCCATCCTCACCTTCACTCTCCTTCTAGGGCGCTGGGGCACGGAGATGCTCTGAAATACTCCCCCCCCCAGGGTTTGGCTGCACAATGACCTGGAATTTGGCACAGCCGGAGGAAAGGGCACCTGCGAAGCGGGTCCCAGAGCCCCTTTTCAGCTCCAGTAACGCTCCTGCCAAGTGCAAGCAAGCCCAGCACAGTCCCGGTTACTCCAGCTCTGATCAGGGTCCCTCCCTGTCTGCTTGGACGCCGCACTGGGCTTGAACAATTCCCCTTAAACGGGGTTTTGTCACTGTCCCCGTAAGCAGCAGGGCTGCTCCTGGGTGGCAGCTGGTTCATCTCCGCCGCCGTAACCGGCCGGCCTGCTCCTGGGTGGCAGCTGGTTCATCTCCGGCTTCACAGGACTGGATTTGAGCCATCGCTGAAACCTCGTGCACGGAGAGCTTTCATGGGAGTGGGAAGGGGTTTGCGGGAGAAACCCTCCCTCTGGCCCTGGGCAGGCTGGACGGCTGCTTGGAGATGGCCGCGGCCTCACAGGTCTCAGCAGGGTCACCGCAGAGCCATTCCCAAGCCCCCTCCAGGCCTTGGTGCCTCCCCAACTGTCCCATCCTCCCGCTGCCCCAAGGGACCCCCCTGGGGACCCCAC